AATGTAACGTGTTTTAACTTTAGTTACCGTGATATTTTTGACCTCATGGTTTTCCTTGAAAAGAAAAAAAATGTATCTAAGCTTTTAACGCTTCATTTTGGAGTTGGAAAAAACTTTTCAGTCCATATTAAAAGTGAAATATTGAATTTTACCCGATTTTGCGTAATTCTAATGAAAACGAATAAAGTTGTCAATCCCGCAGAAAACGAGATACTCAAAACTGAGTTGGGGTCTCAAAATGGCTGACGAAATAACATCGTAAGTTGTGTTGGTGAAATTTGAAAAATTTTATCAGAGGCAGTTTTCGACCCATTGTTCCCCAATTCGCTTAAAAGGTAAAAAGTAAATTTATAGAGCTTAAATTTTGCTGGGCAAACACTATTTCTATATGACTGTAGTTCTCTAGTATCATAAATTATTCTCAACCAAATCGCCAATAGCAAAAAAAATGAACACCTAAATTGCAGTTCGAAATTAATTCGGGACAACAAGTGTATGTCAGTATATTTTCACATCAAGCATTATTATTATAGTATAATTCTAGCCATAAGAGTTATCGTAATCACAAACAGTTATCTGAGAAATTGACTGAAAATTTGAATTAAAATTTTTCCGTAAAGTTTACATTAGATTGTCAGTGTAATCTTCGTTAACTGTAATAAAAAATAGATCTTCAATTCTACTTGAATTTTTCTTCAAATCAAAATGTTATCCGAAGTTATGCTTTGTTGAATTTTATTCCATATTGTAATTGATCTTTTGAAAAAGATTTCAATCTGCTCTCTGTTCTATGTTTCAGAAGAGAAAAGATTTTTTGTTCTTGGGTTGACTTCGATTTCCTTGTTTTCATTTTTAATTCTTTCATAAGCTAGCAGTCGTTTAGTCTTGGTTTTCTAAAACTGACGAACTATTTTTCAATCAAGAAAAATGGAAATCGGTAAAAGGTTTTAAATTTCAAGTCAGACGATGAACCAAATTTTGCACAATCGCAACCTGTTTTAATTGACCATATTTAATGTTTACCAAGTGAAATTATTAAACTTGAAGAAATTCCACTTAGGAGAATTGCTGGGTAGTGCAGATGACTACTAACAGGTGCGTTTATTATGAAAATTTTTGTTTCGATTGGAATTGGTTTTTCCCAGTTGTAATGTTTTTATTCCGGAAGCCATTTTTCTTTAAATCATTTTATTTTCTCATTGAATGATAAGTGTTAACTGATCGATAATAACTCCAAGATATTTCACTGCCGCTTTTTCTCCAATTTTTATCTGACGAGATTGAGAATTTTCCCCCATTTTCTCTTCCATTTTTTCGACTGAAGATGATAAGTTCTGTTTTCTTGGCTTTCACTGAGAGAATGGAATTGAAGTTCTGTGATTTTTTTTGCAGCTTTTTTTCCAATGAATTTTAGCGCCAGACTTACATCATGTTGTTCTCAGTGATGTGTCGTCGGCTTATTGAACTAGTTTACAGGAGTCAGGTAATTGCTTATTTAGATCAATGATGTAAAGATTAAAAATGAGAAGTCGCCGTACAAAACCCTGTGTATCCACATGTTGTAATGAAATCCAGTTTGATTCAACTATTGACAATTGTTTTCTGTTTACGACTTCTTATGAAACAATTTATAATTTGAATCGCACTTTCAGGGAAACCTAACAATCCTATCGTACGTTTTGGGAACCAGTCATCATTAGAATTGAATGCCATAGAATCTTCTGGATCGTCTTTTTTGTATATTGGTGTGACTTGCTTTTTTAGTAACTCGGGTATTGGCCTTTTTCAGGAATTCGTTTAGAAGGAACATCAAATGCCTGTCCATTTTTTTGCATTTATATTTCAGAGCCCATGCATGAATTTCAGATGGACCTGCTAGTTTTTGGCATTAAAATTCAGCAGTTCTTTTTTACATTCAATGCTTGTGAAGAACGTAAATGATTTTTTTTTTGAAATTCATATATTTCACAAAGAAATCTTGGATACTTGGTTTTTTTATCAAAGAATTAACCTAATGTGCAAAATTCCTAGCTCAGGAGGTTTGCCATTTTGAAATTTTTTCTCATGGGTTCTCAGAAAAAGTTTTTCAGAAGGCATATGTGATTGGATAATTTTTTTGAGTGTCTTGTGTCATGGATGATGTTCCATTTTTGACGTTCAGTCTTTTTTTTGAGAAGAGTTGTGATATAAATTGATTGTCCTCAAAGTTTATTCATGGTTTATCATTTTGTTTATAACTGGTTTAAGGTGGGGGAAAACTGATAATTGCGCTGACAACAATTAAGTTTGTACATTTTGTCCGGAGTGATTTGACAGCAGTTCGTTCAGTATCTCGTTCCTAAGGCTTCTTCGAGTAATAAGTTTAAACAATCACTGCGTGTTATTGGAATGGTTTTTTTCGCATATTCTGGTTTCAGTGATGACAAATGTGGTTAAATGGTCCAATTTAATTGGAGTAGTGAATATAATTGATCTGCTGGATTGGTCTTTTTAAAATATAATCTGTGATTCTGCAGTTTAAAAGAGCTCTTGAAAGTGTTGGTGTTGTTTTGTTGGTAACTTCGATGTTATACGGGATTAAATCGTATCCAGAGATGACTTCTCATCTACCGTGAGATAAATCAGGTTATAATCTCCTAACAGGATCAAATTAGAGTTCTATGATTGTGCATAGTCAGTAGAGCTAGCCAGTTCCTCAATTTTTTCATTTTCATTGCTTCGGGTTATTTGTTGAGGTTGTATGATAATATAACAATTGTTAATTTTTCATTCTTATTCGATGAGTTTTTGTGTTCAACCCAGATTCTATCATACATTTGTTTCAGTGTATTAAGATTTTGACGTAGTTTTGCGTTCAAGTTTTTTGCTACAAGTAGCGTTACACATCCTCCTTTTGTTTTTTTTTTGCTGTTCTCTAAAGTTCTGTCAGATCTATATACAACAAAGTTTGAACTGTCTAGCGGCCACAATTTGTTGTTTGAGTCATTAAACCAGGTTGCTGATAAACAACGGTCATAATGGTTCAAGTTTCTACAGTTAAGAATAAAAATAATTTTATTGTCCCTGTTGTTCTCTAGGTGTTCTGTAACTTTTCAAGATTTAGAAAACAATTACCAGGTTTTTGAGAGATATATCTGAACTAGTGTCGTTTCCGATGAAAACACTACGCATAGCTGGTTTGCTGCTGGTACTGGTGATTTAAACTCGCAAATTTATTAGTAGAAGTGTAACTGCCGTTGTTTTGTCTTCTATAGGGTTGGTTTCAATGTTGATAACTTGCTTTCGAGTTTACCTGGTTAGTATAGTCAGGGATAGATTTCTGCCTGAGTAGGTTGTTAGAGTATTGACAAACTAGTGATCGAAGGCAGTTACGCAAGAATGGGACACCATGATCATCCTTGAAATGAATCTTGTCCCAAAACGCAAAACTCCATTCTTTGAAATCTTTCACCCTTGAGTTATTCTTTAGCACCTGGAACTCATCCCTATTGCCTTTATTTTCGTTTATCAATTTGTTATAAGCGTCAATGGTCAAATTGGTTCCTTGATTATTTAAGATGTGGGGTATTTCACAAATACAACCATTTCGGGAATGAATTTAGTGGTTATAACATCATTTAGCTCATGGACAATAATGTCATCTGGACTCAAAACTTTTTGCGCACAGATTTGGTTCTCTGAAAAATTTATGCATTCCAATTTTTATAAAACGTACCTGCTCAATATTTTTTTCTCGGTGGTACTTTCCTTATAAAAGTGCACAAGGTTTTCATTTGACAGGGTTTCAAATCTAATAGGAGCCGTTATGCTCGACACTAAAATCAAGTTTTTGGTGTCTTCGGGAATGAAGAAGAGCAAAAACCTCTCGCGGTTAGAATCAGTAGGTTTTTTTAGCTTAAATCCGACCTTTTTTTTGTTTGCGGCAGATACGCTGCCGATTATCTCTATAAGATTCCGATAATCTTTCTTCGGTTTGTATAGGTATGAATATATTTTATAATCGGCTGAACTTACAAAAGTTATTTAACTCTTCGAAGCTCAATTTGTGAGCACTCGACATTATATCCACGGCTTATTCTCAAATAACACTGAGTAGTATTATAAAAGCGATTAAAGACAAATCAGTAAATTGAAGAAGAATTTGGTAACTACTGAGTGCAGCAAACAAGTATTAAGCTCCATCTCGTTTCTTTTTAGAGTTTCGATCGATGAGATGAATCTTTTTTATACGGAATAGTTAAAGGTCAGTTGGAATAGTTTGAGTAATTTAAGTAGTAAAATAAAAAAGTAAATTACAAAGAAGAACATTTTTCATTCGAATTTATCTACAATTTTATAAGCAATGTAATACGATTCAATTGATGGATCCATTTTTATTATTTTCGTTTTGATTTTCGATGTGCCAAGTAGTTCGAAGTTTACAGTAGAATTTTGCCTCTCTCGAGCTCTATTTTCGAATATTTTTGTTGGGTTTTGTCGAGAAAATCTTCAACAATAAGCCAGTATAGAGAAAAACGCAGTAAAAATTTGGGATTGTTTTTCAGACGTGATCTCTGTGGATAACCGTTTTTTAGATGTGACCTCTGTGGATTTAAAAGTTGCAAATGCTTCCTGTGTACTCGTCACTACTAATGATAAAACTGTTTTCGATTGTCCTAATATGTAGAGACAAGGGAACTTAAGCGCAGCCTAGTCAAGGATCTGATAGACCTGTAGCCTAATAGCAGGTCATTTTTTTGAGTTTCATTCAACTCGTGTCTTTTGTGCAGGTATTTGTTGTCTGGTTGAGTTGATTCCCAGTCATCTCGATTTTACTTTATCTCGCGTTATCCACCTAATTTTCTTTACCCTCCCTTAATTTATAAAAAATTCTATTGTTTTTTGATTGGGTGAAAGGACGGAAGACAAGTTTAGTAACTTCAGTTACCGTGATAATTTTTGCTGTTTTTTTTGTTAATCTAGCTGAAAATCTTTCAACAGTCTGTTAGCGACATTTCAGAAATTGAAATGAAGGATAAGAGCTTAGTACCACCTCCCATATATCCCTCCATTGTTGTCCATACTCCCAATTCCTCACTCCCGACGACGCCTAACCCGATGTCTCCCTATGGCAACACCCAAGAACAGTATGCATTTGTCAACACTACATCGAATTACTCTCATGATCAGTTGATCAGATGGCGCCATCTCGTTCTAAGTCGATCCAAACTGAAAGCTTCTTCTGGAACCTCGGCTCTCCTATCTGGGTTCGCAATCATAGCTTTAGTGGAAACTCAAATTCAATCTGGCTCATCGGATTCTACCGACATTCCAGGTAAATTTCAAACAATAAAAAATGCGTCTGATTTCTTTGTCTGATAACTTTAGGTTACTGGAAATCGTTTACTTCATAGAAAAAAGAATATTCGTAACGGCGTTGAACAACTACAATATCTATTTATCTTTGTTAGGTGGTTCAGTTAAAATATCACAAAACACTGTTGAACCATTTAAAACAAGAGTTGTTCGCTCTAAATTACTCTGAAAGTTTAAAATCGCATTTTGTCTTCACTCAGAAACAATTCGTGTATCAAGCGAATCACGAGTAAAGATATTCAATATGACATATCTTTTCACTCCCATTTAGTTTACATTTAAAAAATATTGAACTGCGAAAATTCGCCAGTTTGTGGCGCTGAATGTACTTTTTTACACATGTCAATTCCACGATTTGTTTTAAGGCTCTTTTTCCTTCTTCGCCCCATCTCGAATGATCATCAATTTTATGATTTAAGTAGTGGTTTTATCTGGCCAGGTAATAAGAAAAAATGTGTTTTTCATTGCTTAGTTAGTCCGCGTTACAGTGTTCATGACAATTGGATAACACGAACAATATTTTTACAATATCCAGTTTTAGAACCTAATTATTTTTTACGGTGAATTTTTTGCGAATTAGCCTAATATAATCAAATGTTTTACGAATTAAGTCAATACTCTTGATTCAAAACTTCAAATGTGGGAACTTGTTACTTTGCGATCCAATTTCAAGTTTGGGACGGATTTTCCAGCAGACCAATGTTTTAGCATAAAAACTGAAAAATGAGCCTCTTAGGAGACCGACGTCATACAACTGACACTTAATTGATTCACAGACGTAACAAGACGCTCGGCCAAGCTTTTCTAGTTAATACAATCATCTCATGATTTGCTTACAACGCTATTAACTCCAAAAACGGATGGTCTAAATTCGTGGCAAAGCAGATTTACACCCACGATAACACTCGTGCCGAATGTAAGAGCACCGGTGCAAGTAGAAGCTATTTAAAAAATACGCGTCTGAAGTTAGTCTTCTAAATGCTAATTGTTTGAGTCTGCTAAAAGATGGTTTGCTAAAAAAACTGGTCTGCTAAAATACCTAACACCTTCAAGATTAGAGGTAAACGTTATTTTTAAGTATCCTTTCACTGCAATCTATTTTATTTTGCTGTTGGAGTTAAATTCTATTAGTTAAGCAGTAATCCTCTTTGTCCTTCTCTCTCTTCTTTTTCTCTAATAAACTAATAAGATAAATCATAACCAATTTTAAACCCTGTTTCCGGTTTCAACTGACATTAAAGACCGTATAGTTGTAAGGATAACAAATTTGACTCAACTATCCTACCACTGGAATAAAGAGGTTAAGCGTTTTTTGTGGCGCCATTAAAACTGTTTTGGTCGGTAACACGCGTTTTTTTGGTGTTATTGTATTTTTAGTTATACAATATGGTTTGTTTTGTCAAAACATATAAAAACAACCAGTTACACTTTGCTATACTTGGTCTTACCCGCATATACACCGTTATTGTTCCGACCATCTGAAAATGTGGAGGGACTTTGTATTCCGGTTTGTCTTAGTTTTCAGCGCAAATTCAGATGCCACTAATAATCATTGGATTGATTCGAGTAATATATATGAAAGCCCTTTCAGTCGTGATTCCAAAGACAAAAAAAAGGAGAAAAAAAAACTGTTGCGAAAAAGCAGATTTAAATTTTTAATTTTTGTCTAAATGCAGAATTTGTCTAATTGTTATATGAAATTTTTCTGTTTTTTGTAGACTTCTAGAATGAAAATTTGATTTTACTAGAAAGAAAACTTGTTTTGGATTCTTCTCTTCATTTAGAGCCTAACCAGAAAAAAAAAATTTATTTTTAAATTTTTTTTGAAGACATGTTATGTTGATCATATTTCTTTCACTAATTTTCTACGCTTTTGTATAGTTCTCGAATCACTTTTTTTTCAATAAAAACGACACTAGTTTGAAGGAAAAAAAGTTGTTATTAGACTGCGGTCATCTCAAAATACTTTCTGATGATTCCAATTCATCAAGAACATAAAGACAATCACTACAACCTTTGTTAATCTCAATAACACATCGTTGTCGGAGGAGGATAGGTGAAAGTGATATTTTACGGTTAATGTTTGATATTATTCGGTATAAATTATCTTACTCCGTTGAACAAGCTTTGGCTCAAATTCGTTATGTTGGTTGAAAGCGTAAACTTCAAAATTTTCTTGTCACCTGGAATTTGGTTGGTCGCTTCATTTGGTTTCAGAATGCCTGCAACAAGCAAAACTCGTCTAAAAACTGCTTCCTCCAATTAAGATGAGTCATCTGAAATCACTGACGAAGCAAAATCCGTGATTGCTGGTTATGGCATAATTGGAGACACATATGAACTGAACTTGCTCTTCTTTGTCCGTGTGATGAATTTGGTAATTGGAATAGATTTGGTTTTTACAACGGCTCTCAAGTTTAGACCTCCTACTCCTGTTCAACCATAGTCATACACACAATTTTCTGACTTACTACTCACTAAAGTTAACACATTTGAGCGAATGGGCTTCGTATCTGACATTTTTTCAACAAGAAACTAAAATACTGGTTTGGCAAAATTGCTGAATCTTGTCAGTTTAGAATTGGAATCGATATGTTATTGATAAAAACATTGCTTGCTTGGAGACATTAAACTCGGACGTTTCAACGATATGCTAAAGATTGTCACGATATGCCTACATCTGGTTTCCGTAACGATAGCAATTAGTCTTCGAGTTATCGGGCAACTTCAGAAACTCTCGTTGTTTTACTGGAAACAGCAGACAAAACCATTGTGCACAAAACAATCTTCCGAGGATCAAAAGCCTAACTCAAAAGAGCTTCAACGCAAATTCAAGTACTGCAAATTTCTGCCTCCTGGTGGAGACACTTGCTAGCCTCTCTACTTACTTGAGTACTTCAAAGCCTTAGATTGTAAGCAAGGATACGAGACATCTTGTTTCAACAGGAAAATGACTGTTTTTCAACTTTTTAGCAAATCAAAGTTTCTGAATTCATATTGAAACTGCTTTGCCGAACAAACAATTATGGCGAAAAGCCTCATACGCGTCTTCGCGATCCATCTGCTGGTCCAGCAAAAAACGCAAACAAAGCTGCTGTTCACGCAGTATATAGTTGTGAGAGGTCAGGTCTAGCAGCCTACTTGCCAGTCGAACTTCTTATGGTGGCAAAACTTTTTTCCTTTTTTTGACACGGTAGCTCCGTCGTCCGCTTACTGGAATCATTTGCTGCTAAAGTTGGTTCGGACACTAACAAAATCACAAAACTTCCAACGTCTAGATATTACCAGAACAAATTGGTTTAAGTTGCATCTGTGGTGGCTCGCACTAAACGTTATAACGCTACACAAAACCCAATTCTACTAGAGGATGTCTTGACAGTCCCAGACTCTAACTTATGCCCATTGGTCGTTTCTCATATCAGCGCTATGTGTACCAAGTTTTCACACTTGAAATGTTTTTGAAGTTCCTAATTTCAAGGATAACAATATTTCGATTATAATCGGTAACAACAATCACGAATTTCTGAAGTTGAAAACACAGCTTACGGACTAACCGTTACTCGGGCAATAGAAGTGCTACTTGGATGGACCTGCTTCGGTCGCAACAAGGCTAAATACTCTTCAGTGCCATTACTCCTAAGACTTTCACTCATGTTCATTCGCACAATCTTTTGGGTAAAGCTTTATACCAAAAGATACTCGATTGGCTACAAAAAAAATCAGTGGAAATGGGTCTTCGAAACGCTCTCATTGGAAATCAGATATTGTGCCATCGAAATTACGACTAACAAAGAAACCTGAACTGCGAGGGCAACAGCCATGTCAGAGTTAGAAAAAGTTACGTCACCAAACGATACAGACATGAAGTCATAGTTTTTACGGCATCATTTAGTGAACAATGACGTTACACCCGATAAAGTCAGATTAGTCCGCGATTTTCAGGGATAATCCTTCAAACGATCTTACGTGCAGTTTGACTGGTTTTATATTTCGCTTTCGACCGAACAAAATAGATATATATGCAGACATAGACGACATGTGTTTCCAGGTTTTGGTGAACCCTGAGGACAGGCCCTATCTTCGGTACTTTTGGAAGGAAAACAGTCAAATAGAAGTTAATGATTTTACTATACTTATAATTCGTGCTCTATACTCTTCCTATTTAACTTGTTATGCCGTTCGCAAGTTAGCGACAGACAATAAAACTGATTTTTTGCTTGATTGCAAAATTATCAAATGGAACAGGACAATTAGTATTCGGAAAGTTTATTAAACCTCGTGGTCTCACGGTGTTAAGTGAGACACTGCTTTAGATGTCAAAAAAATTCAGGATTTCATATTTTGGCTCAAAGAAATTGAAAGCTTTGAAACTGTTTTTTTTAGCACGGAATTGCTTCGATAAGGGAAATCCTGTCACAATCTAGCTTAACACGTTGTGTAGCGCATCAGCTTTTGCTCTTGCAGCAGTTTACAACCTCTGAGTTGCTTATAACAACAACGTTCAAATTTGTCATCTCAAAGGCATGTGTCGCTCCGATCAAACGCCTTACGATTCCGAATCTTATTATGCAAGGTGCGGTTCACATTGTGGGCCTATTCTGTTTGGTTATCGAGGAACTCGATTAACAAATCGGAAAATTTTTGTTTCTGGTCCGATACACAGCAGTTTTGTACGGACTGCGAACACTAGAAATACGATCAATGGTTTTACATTCTGACTTTGCTAAACCTTGCTGACTATTTTATCAGAAGTTTCACTGCTGCTGTAATGTCTCGACACTCGCGCTGGTTTTAAGGACCATATTTTCGAAGGAATTTTCTAGCAACTGGCCTTCACAAGAAAACATGCAATTGGAAAACGTTCCTGTTTTCGCGACCAATATTGGTTCCAATTTTGAACCCTATATTTGATGCTCAACGCATCAGAAACTGGAAAGTCTTTTGCGGACAATTGCCAACTGTTTTTTTCTTCTCAGAAAACATCAAACGAGATGAAAAATGCCAATGTAAGACCAGCAAGTGTCGCATCTGGCAAAAGTCTGATCATCAAAACTGCTCAAAGGCATGATTTTTTTCCCCTGAAATCCCAGACCCTCAGAAATAGAAAGCAATCGAAAAGTAGAAGTCGTCTTCGGATTTCAGCCATTTTTCTGGATGAAACCTGGTGTATTTCCTGTATGTCGTTCAACAGGACAGTTAACCCACGCACCAATGCTACTATTTGTTAGATATCCAATAATTCCTGCTGGTGATAATTCAATTACTCGATTGCTATTGCTTAATGTACACTTCCTGCTCACTGCGGCAAGGAATAATTAATGACCACAGCAAACGAACACAACTGGAATTTACGATGCTGCTGGATGCCTAAAAGTATCATCCGCAGATGTATATCGCTCAGAAGAATGCAGTAATTTGACTATGCTGAAAAGTCAGATCTTCCAATGGGAAGACTGCTTTCTACAAATCACCATCCCTTCGCAATTACAGGATTTTTCACTTCTCGTCTCACTTAACAGTTTTTTTTCTGTAATAGACGCTTATTTGCCCGCCGAGGAAAACCATTGAAACTGGTGTCTGATTCTGGAACAAGCTTTGTCGTTGCTAATACTCCCTCCAGCAGCGCCTAACAGCGGCTATACTCCCTTCAGCAGCGCCGGTGGGAATGGCTAGTTACGTTTTTCAAACTCGCCTCACACAAGGTTATCCGCTCGAGAACACTCACCTTCAAAACACTGACATTTTTCATCAGAGAAATTGAGCCAACAATGAATGCGAGGCCGCTGACACACGTATCCGACGGAATTGAAGATGATCTGCTGCTCACTCGAAACACTTATTACTCGGTCGAGTAACTCCCGAGTTTGCCACGCTGTCTTTAAAGTGAAAAACCCGTCTTTCAATTTTTTCGAAAGCTTCACAGCTGCTCTTGGATCAATTCTGGAATAGTTTCTTCAAGGGAATTTATAACCGGTCAGCAGAAGCAAGCAAAGTGGACAATTTCAACTTCAAATTTGAAACCGAACATGGTTTGGATGCTCAAAGACTTCAATTCCTGCGGATTGTGGCCATAAGCCAAAGTCGTCGAAACATTTTCTCGACAGGATGGATTAGTCTGCACAGTGAAACTGAAAACCAATAACGGATTCAAAGTTTGACTCGCAGTTTCAAGTAATCAATCAACAATCAACTAATCTGATTATCAAATAAGAAAACTGTGATTGACTGATAGCAAAAAAACGGTGATCGACTTCTAGTTTCGAAAATAGATTTTTGGTTTCAATTTTCCCAGCCAGTCAATTTTATGAAAAAAGTGCTTATCTAACTAACATCAGTTCTTGAAATAATCTGATATGCATTTTTCGGAAGTTGAAATGTTCAGAAGATATCAAACAATTTTTTTTTCGGTCTCATTAAAACTTTTCCACCCTTCTGATGGTTATTTTTTTAAGTTTCAAATTCATAAAGTTAGACAACAACTTATAAACAGTCAAACAAAAATGTTTCTCTAGCTGAGCTCGGAAACTTTCTTTGCCAAATGTTAGATCCAGTCATTCACCAAACTTGGTGGGAGGTAATTGTTAAAGGGATTAGTTTTTCAAAAGTTAGAAATGTTGCTCTAGTCCTTAAGCGTCTTTGCTGTATACTTCCAGGTTCTTTGCTGGTGCTATTCTCTGTATGTACGACGATTTTAATTGCAGTACATTTGCTGGCACTTCTAATTTCAACGTGTATTCTACCAAATTTGGAGGTGGAGTTAGAAGACAGGTCATATATGGTACATGACAAACACATTACTTACTACGTGGACCTTGCATGGATTCTCTCTACAGGCGTCGGGATCATGTTGTTCTTGGCTGAAATTGCGCTGGTTTGTTGGATTAAGTTCTGGCCTTACAATGTGTATGCAGCGATAGCAGCTACAATAATAGTTATTCCGCTAATGTTTCTTTTTATCTGCTTTGGAGTGAAGTTTTACTGGCAGCTGGCAACAATGCATACTGATAATTACAATCGTCATTTGGACATGTTGCTTAGTGATTCTCGCAAACTGCCCAAGACTAACAGTGTGAGCTCAAGTGGTGCCTCCCCTGGCCTAGCCGGGGGTATAATGAATGCCTAGTTCTTCTTTAACCTGGACCAAATACGAAGACGCATCAAATCGAAAATCACGAATAACGTTTCTGCATCAAACGTGTTACATTGGAATAGGTTTTCACCAGTCTTCAATACTAGTCTCTGATTTTCATGAAGATCTACGTTTGAAAGATGCATTCACGTTTGAATTAAGTTAGAAAAGTGTTTGAATATAAGTTCTAGATTAGTCATTTATTGAGTGGGGAAGTCTCCTTTATTTTAATTCAAAAGGTATTCAGAATCGCATATTTCAATACAATAGATGATAAATATCATATTATTTTTTCTTTAGACTTGCGATCAGTAATTGCTTCAAAACTTTCCTTTATAGTTGAGTGTAATATGAAATATTTAATTTCAGAAAATGTTTGTTTGTAAGTCACGACTAGTTAGTGTCTCAAAGCGACAATCAGCTGCAGTTTCATCGCAATTTGTCAGAAATGGTTCCAAAGAGAAATCGCCCCAGAACCATGCAATTCAGGGCACTCAACTCTTACGCGAACCTGCTTTAAATAAAGGACTAGCATTCACTATAGAAGAACGTCAGACGTTAAGGATCCACGGTTTGTTGCCACCTGTAGTTACTAACCAAGACTTACAGCATGAGCGGGTTCTGCTGAACTTCAATGCTCTGACGTCGAACCTGAACAAATATATCTACCTGACAGATTTGCAAATGCGGAACAAGAAACTATTTTACAGAGTTCTCATTGAAAATATAGAACAAATGATGCCGATAGTGTACACACCAACGGTAGGAGAAGTGTGTCTCAAATATGGCATGATTTACCATCAACCTAGAGGTCTGTACATAACGATCAACGACTTAGGACATGTATACGATGTCCTGTGCAATTGGCCTGAGCAAAATATAGAAGCAATAGTTGTAACTGACGGTGAACGAGTTCTGGGTTTGGGTGATCTAGGAGCATATGCGATGGGCATTAGTGTAGGGAAGCTAGCCCTTTACACGGCGCTGTCAGGTGTTCAGCCGCATCAGTCTTTACCAGTTTGTATTGATGTAGGGACCAACAACGATAAACTATTGAATGATAAGTTCTATACAGGATTGAGACATAAAAGAGTTACAGGTGAAAAATACGACGCCTTAATGGAAGAGTTTATGGCGGCCGTGAAAAGAAAGTACGGACAGTTTACTCTCATTCAGTTCGAGGACTTCGCCAATCAAAATGCATTTAAATTTCTTCATAGATATAGAAACCAGTACTGCACGTTTAATGATGACATTCAAGGTACTGCTGCTGTTGCAGTAGCAGGGCTTCTATCTGCCCTACGGGTCACCAAAGTTCCTTTGAGAGAGAACAAGTTTCTGTTTTTGGGAGCGGGGGGAGCTAGCACAGGTATCGCAATGTTGCTTCACAGGGCAATGGTCGACAGTGGCTTGACAAGTCAAGAAGCTTACAATTCGATCTTTTTGGTGGACAAAGATGGACTCTTAGTTAAATCTAGAACAGACGCGGCAATTTCTAGCTTCCAAAAGCCGTTCTGCAAAGACTTTCCGCTAATGCCGGACTACAAAGAGGTGATTGATTTGGTTAAACCGACTGCACTGCTTGGAGCTACCGGTTCCCCAGGTCTGATATCGCATGAAATAATTGCAAAAATGTCGGAGTGGAATGAAAGACCAGTGATATTTGCCCTGAGCAACCCGACATCGTGTGCTGAATGTACAGCTGAAGATGTTTATAGAATTTCGAAGGGAAAAATTCTATTCGCGTCTGGAAGTCCCTTCGACCCTGTGGAGTATGAAGGTAAGACGTTCTACACGGGTCAAGGAAACAACGCTTTCATATTTCCGGCTATGGCAATGACGGCGATGAGTTGTAGAGTGAAACATATAACTGAACACATGTTTTTGAAGTGTGCGCAGTATCTAGCTGAGATGGTCAGAGAGGAAGACCTGGATCGCGGGTTGCTCTACCCGCCCCTGGGCGATATCAGAGAAGACAGTATCAAATTAGCCGCCAGACTAGCCGAGTACAGTTACAGAACTGGAATCGCTACTTACTACCCGGAACCGATGGATAAAGATGAGTTTATAAGAGAGCATGTGTATGATTATGAGTACAGAGATTTCATGCCCAAACTTTACCCGTTCCCTCTTGATGGTCCGAATGAGGTGAAGTGATACAAACTGATCTGGAATTAGAAATCGTTGCCACTGCATGCTGTGTGGACCTTCATATCGCCAAGTTTCATTTACTTCAGTTCCTTTCATTTCAGTTCTTTATCTTCAGTTTTCCAAATTACAGTGAAATATGGTACTAATTGTTTGGATTTCAGCTTTGTGGCAAGAAAGAAAAGAAGCTATATTTCCAAATTGGGATGCGTTTTGATTTTTTCGCTGGAATTTTGTTATGTATTAGATTTTGTATAGATTATTTCTAACAGATGTTTCTCCGAGAGAATATTTTAAATACTTGTGGTGTTCAAATTGATATAAATATTATCTCATTTGATGTAATTCAATCAAACTGAGGTATTATAGCTGACTTTTCATGATATTTACCCTTGCGATAATACTATTTATCTAATTTTCTCAAAAACAAAATTTTGAAATATTGTTTCCGAAACTTAGAAATCACTGAATGGCACGATTCTTCGAAAGTGAGGTCTAAAAGCAATGGGTTTTTTGGTAAATCTGCATTTTGCAGTTCAAAGGTGAACGAAGGAGTCAAGTCTTAGATTCCTTCTGTATTTTATGGCTGATAACTTTCAAAAAGGAGCGTAATCTGTTAGTTAGTTCATTAAAGATAGATGAATCGATAATAATTTGTGATGATAATCTTTCAGTAAATTCTGTTTTGAACACCGCTGCAAGTGCACTGCAGTACATTGATTTGCATTTACGTTGTCCAGATGTCTTTCTATCGCTGTAAATAGTTTTCAATTTGGTAATACTTAGTATTTGGAAATTGAATTCATTAGTTTTGCTTTTTTAGTAGAAGGAGGTCGTTAAACTTCGATCAGATAGTCAAGTTTGCTAAGCTTTTATGTAATGCATTAATATTAAGCGTATAACTGAAGTTGAGTAATATGCCAAAGTTTTTCATGGTGCTCGAATCTTAGATCAGCTCTGTTCTTCATGTTGCTCGAACCTCTGGTCAGCTTTATCCTTCGAAGTCTGAGGGCTTAAGAACATGGAAACGTGGGTTTTTGATGATACACAGAAGGACGCTCCATACTAATGTGCTCACTGCTACAAATGCGACTCTCCACTCGGGTCCAAACCAGCGGAAGTTGATGTACTAAACGTGAAAGAAAGAAATTTCAGGAGACTAAACCGAAAGCAGTGAAAACTCTTATTGCTGTAACACTAGTTTGTAGCTGCCAAAATTAAAGAACAGATGATAACAAATGAGCCTTCATACTGAAGCTTTTCAGTCGTGATTCGAGCGGAGAAGCTTTCCGAAAATGTTCTATAATGCCAAAAAAACGGTTATTTTGCTTTTTCAAACAAGCGTGCTTGCAAGCATAGTATTTTCGGGCAGTCCATTGTTAACGACCATATTCACGAAGTGTTTATGCAAGAAAAAATTTGATGGAAGTTTAATAACCTTTTGAATACATTGACGCCCTGAGCACAAATGAAACAAAACTGCTTGAATATCAGAGTGAAATCCTGAATGTTCCGACTGCCCCTCAATCCATACCGAAAAATTTTTGGGAGAAGAAAAAAAATGGAAAACTATAAATTTTGGACAAAATTAAAGATCGAGTGCAAAAATTTGAGTCAAACGAAATTAATACGACCGATTAGATAGCCTCAATTAATTCAATTTCGAACGATTATGTTGTGCGGGATATTTTGCCACGCATAAATAATTCCCGTTACGCTCTCAGCATTATGAATAAACTCTTCCAAGCTCACATAACTTAGTCCAGAAGATGACCAACTTGGCAATTTTCAAACCCCCAGAACTTTGCAAAAACTAATCGGAGGTAAAATATCTTTTTAAATTTGATTTCAGCGAGTCAAAATCTTCAATGGAGAAAAAATTTGAATTTTGAAGAAAAAAATAGATGCCCTTTCAGCTCTTGCATTTTCTAGAACAATGTTTGACTGACGCTTTTTTGATAATATTAACCCAACTTGCGAAAACTGGATCAAAAGGTAAAGTTTTTATTCCGCTGGAAATCTAAAAAGAATCATCAAGACCTATATAAGAATCTTCTTTACGTTTATTACTCTTAATATAAAAAACCACCCCAATCATAAGTCTTCCGTTTTCTTCGAAAGTCGAACTCTGAATGTTCCGGCTCCCCCTTAAATGATCTCGAATATTTTTGGTAAAAAAAGTTTTGATTAATTATAAATTTCGGACTGCCTACATCAAATATTAACTGCTAAAATTTGGTGCATATACAAAACAGTCCCATACAAAACAGTCCCATACAAAAGAGTCCGAAACATCAAAAAAAGGTTCTAAAAAACAGTCCCATACAAAACAATCCAAAACCAGTTGAATTTCATGACCTTGATCTTTTGGCGCCGACCGAATTGATCTACGCTTTGAAAACTCAAACATGGGCAATTAAAGATCAAAGAGCCAAATTTGGAACAATAATTTGGATGAAAATCAAAGGATTCATGGTATAGTGGTTAAAGCGTTAGTCTCAAACTCTAGAGATCAAAGGATCGAATCTCCGGCGGCACAAAAATTTTTCCAATTTTCCGAAAAAAGTTGAAATTCGGGTAAATATGATAACGGGTATATCTAGGGTACAACAAAGGGTTCAACCTTAGAGGGTTGGGCGGAGGGAAAAGAAAAATCAACACCTTGTATGGATTCATTATTTTGCCGGTTTCAAATCGACTCTAGCTCAACTTTGAAAAATCAAGGAAATTAATTAACTTGGAAAAATTTTGGTATTTAGCTTTTTGGTATTTGGAGTTTTTGGTATTTAGCTTTTTTGGGTCTGGCTACTTTTTGTCCTGCGCACATTTTTTCCAACAGTATTTCCGCGTTTTTTTGCTCGTCCTGGAACTTCTCGATCAGTTTTGGGAATGATGGATGCTTACTATTGACCAGTTTCACGAAGTTGCTGTTCCAACCTTCTACAGCGTTGTTGGTGCGGGGAAGGTCGTTTTTTACTCTTTGATGGCAACTCCATTGCTCCATATTAAATCTGGGCTTCTGTCGTCCTTGAGAAGTCAGTCTACCAATATATGTGTCCTCAAAATAATTGAAAATCGGTTGACTTTCTTCAGATGCCATACCTTGCAGAAGCTCGAAAGCTGTGGGGACGTCCTCTACGGGCAGAAATGCTGTTGCGAGAAGCATTCGAATAAGTTCGCGAAAATTAAGGTCCTTGTTGTAATTGTGAGTATTGCCTGACGACTGAACATGTCGCCAGACACTTTGACTCATATGGAAAAAACAAAATTGAATTTGAGCACTCTGATGGGTAGCTATTATTGAGTTTCGCACAGCTACTTCAAAATCAATTGTGACGCGTTTTGGGGAATCAACTTTAGGAATACTGAGAAGGCGACAATAAGTTGATTCCTTTTTGTCGGGTAGCAGAGCGTAAACAATAGGAATAAGGCATCCTTCAACAGAAGCGTGTATAGTATAAATCTGATAGAAAACATTGGGAGCAGTCGAAAACGTTCCATCACAGAACCAATCATCCGATAAAGATAGTAAGTCTAATCCAGGTAACGTGGCGAACACAATAACCCGATTTTGGGGACCAGAATCGTGAAGAAGGAACTGCTCTCCATCGTGGGTTTTCTCTAGAGCCAGTGGTAGTTCAAAGCCAGTCAGCGATGTTGGCTCTGCCATCTTTGGTCTTTTTTCGCGTCGAACTCTATTTACAGCTTGCTGATTAGCAGAATAACTAGGTAAATGAACAGCTGTTTCTCGGTTCACATCACGTTGGGCTGCGAAAATAGTCTGTCGCGGTGTTACATCGGATACTGCTGCTCGATCTTTAAGTGTTTTTCTGAACTTACGTTTTTCGATGTCAGCTGGATCGGGGAAGTGGCAGTGATCTTTAACGATCTCAACGGAGTCGTCCTTTGTACGCACACGGCCATTGCAGCTACTTTGTCCGCAGCGCCAGGAAAGGGAGTTGTCTGCCAGTGTTCTGTGTTTAATATAAGCATACCCTTCAAAAATCAGTAACTCAGAATTTTTGTTTGTAAGTATGATTTCCATCGATAGATAGTGAATTTCGTTTCTATTGAGTGTTGTCAAGTGTTTGCAAATGAAACAGATTGAACAACTTGTCTCTTTTTGCTTAGATTAAAAAAAGAGTCCACTTTCTTAAATTGCGTTAACTTTAATGTTTCGAAGATTATTGCTTTTATTGAGTAGCCGCTGCTGTTATCTAGGTTGTTCTAATTTCTCTACTATAGTACCTATTGTTATCCGGATTAGTTGGTATCAAAATGTGTTTAATATGAGATAACTTTACTTATCAGCTTCTAGAACAATTATCACTTCGATCAATGGGACTGTTTTTTGGACTATTTTTTGGACTATTTTTGGGACTGTTTTGTATGGGACTGTTTTTTTGTATTTTGCTATGTTTTTTCGGACTGTTTTGCATTGGACTGTTTTGTATGGGACTGTTTTGTACAGACACGTAAAATTTGAGTCATTTACAGACTGAATTAATATGACAAATTTAGTTACTTGTATTTCAATTTGGAACAATTCTGAGTGCTGGATAATTCGTCACACACAAAAAAAATTAGCTTATCAAACTATTATCAATTAAACGAGAAGATTCTGACCACGGTTAGGCTAGTGCGAGTACACCGGTCCGGGAATCAGTTTTCTGGATTGATCTCCAAGCTGTCAAAACGTTCTGTGTAAAAATGGTGTCAATAAAAAACACGCATAGCATATATTTTCGTCACTTTCTTCGAGAGTCAGATCAAATCCATAAAGCTGGCGATCAATTCTCGTAAATTGTTTGAAATTTTGGAATTCATAAAAGTTCTGGATTAAATTTTGCGCAATTTAGGCGCTCTCTTTCATGCTCGGCAAAATTATAGAGCGGCGAATTAATTCAATTTTCAAAGCACTTAAATCGTTTTAAATTGAATTCAGGCTAGTTGATTGATCTCAATATTCCTTCAAGACTTAATTTATTATTTCAGTACTTTTTGTTCATACTTTCGAAGAACTCATTGTGGTTTTGTTGAGCAATTTAGTCTTATTTTGTTGCTAGACGCCAAATATTTGTACTTACACAGAGTCGGGGGAATTTCTTCATTTATCAAAAAATATTTTTAGTCATAAAAAGCAGGGGTTGTGTCCAGAAACGAACAGTCTTGAAAATCAATGAATGAGTTGAACACTTATATAGGATATAGGTCCTCTTTTTTGTTATTTACATTTGTATTGGTTTTGCTATTACTGTTTAAACAGGTAAGGTAAATTTCATATCTCGCTTTCTCAACGTCTCACTAAAAATATACAAAAATAGTTGAACAAATATACAAAAAAAGTGTTTTGATTGATGGTCGATATATATATTTTATCATTTGGAGCGTTTTTTATGGGCTTATTCAAAGTCTGAAGTTTTTCTTTGGCCACGTTCCATTTTTGCACCACTCGTGTAGTTTACTAGAGTAACATTTAGTGAGACACAAAAACTGAACATCCTTATTGTTCCGACTTTCAATACGAAAGTAACGGAATATTTGTGCTCGGGGTGGGTTTTTTTATTCACACAAATTTCGACTTTATAACTAGCCATTTTTTACGAAATTTTTTTATATCATTGGAAAGGTTATGTTGTCCTGAGCTCAAATTTGAAAAGATATTTCACCTGTGATTGTTTTTCGTAAAGTTACGGGGGTTTAAAGATTGCCATTTTGGCCAATTTGGGACAATTAACGCGCGATATATTTTGCGCTATTAACGCGTAAGCGGAGAGTTAATCCGTCTTAGAAATCGTTCGAAATTGGTTGAAAGAAGCTTGTTTGCCATAATTGCTTTGTTACAAGGAGAAAAATCTATTCTTTTGTACTTTACATGGCGTGTAAGGGGATGATTTTTATTTAAAAACAAATTCAATTTTTTTGAATTTTTTTTTCATTTTGTTTTATTTCATTAAATTTTTAATATTATTACTGCTCCATAAACCTTAAAAGGCAGTCGGAACATTCAGGGCTTCGCCCTGATACGAGCAGTCTTGTTTAAATTAACTATTAATGAGCGAAGTGATTATAATTTTTTTTGCAGTTTTTATTTCGGCAATAAGTCGCACGTTTGACAACGTTATAATCAATTCAAACCCATTTGCTAAATATGCTCCGACTGAGTAAAAATCAAAATTCCAATAGTGGGCTGAATTTTCTTAGTCATTGAGCTCATAAACACTTTTCCAGCTGTCTTTTGGCTATGTTTAGAGATTCAAAGAGCTTTAGAAGATCGGATGATGGAATCTGTCGGTAATTTTTAGGCTCATTTTTCTTCACCGAATTTGTGTTTTTATTATTTAAACAAGCAAATGCTTGTTAAGTGTCAAAGAACAAAATGATTTTCTCTTATAAAGATCGTTATGATTTTTTTTGTGGTGTGATTTATGGTTTTTTCAAGTTTCTGTTCTTTTCATTTGCTAAAAGGAATGTAAACTCCACTGACGAACAGCAAAGTGTAAATATCACAAAATACATGAACGCCTTATGGTTTCAAAAGTGAACATTAATTTCCGGAATTCCCAGCGGATTGAAAAATATACATTCTGATTCAGTTTTCGCTATAGGGGGGGGGGGGGGGGGGTAAAAGAAACAAGAAGAAAAGAAAACAAAGACTGCTCGTATCAGTGCGAAGCCCTAAGTGTTCCGACTGCCTTTTGAGTTTTATGGAGCAGTAATAACAAAAAAAAATTAAATGTAATAAAATAAAATGAAAATTTTTTTTCTTCTAAAATTTGAAATTTTTTTTATGAAAAACATCCCCCCACACGCCATATAAAGTACAAAAGGATAGATTTCGCTCCTTGTAACAAATCAATTATGGCAAATAAGCTTCTTTGAACCAATTTGGAACGATTTCTATTACGGATTAAATATCCGCTTACGCGTTAATAGCGCGAAATATATCGCGCGTTAATTGTCCCAAATTGGCCAAAATGGCAATCTTTAAATCCCCATAACTTTACGAAAAATGATCACAGGTGAAATATCTTTTCAAATTTGAGCTCAAGACAACAACACCTTTCGATTGATATAAAAAAATTCCGTCAAAAATGGCTAGTTAAAAAGTCGAAATTTGTCTGAAGATAAAAAACCCACATCCAGCACAAATATTCCGTTACTTTCATATCGAAAGTCGGAACAAAAATTGAAATTCAAAGAGTTTTAAGTTGATATACTTGAAAGTTTGAAAGTTGAAAAATGTTCAATCGACTCGTCTTTCGGTCTCATTGTTCTCTTACACGTTTCGAAAAATCTGTTGGCTGTGTGTATACTACAAGTTCTCTTTTTCAATTGAAATAGCGTAATTAGTCCTGAACAAATAAGCTCTTTTGCTACATGAACTTTTTATTAGGGTGCGTTTTGTCCTCTTTATTAGTGGCTAATGTTTGTCGCTATTAAGAGTCCTTGGCAAATTTGTTAATTGAGTCCGCCTTTGGACTTACTGAGTTGGACTCCTCTCAGAGGGAACTTAACTTGCCTTTTATAGCTCCTTTTAGCCATTTATTTTTGTTTGGGATATGCAGCTTCGCCTCGATATTTCCAAATTAATTTGAAATCAATTAGAAAGCATCGGCGGAGTGATTGAAAAGCTGATAGTGACAATCATTGAGTTAGAAATTGATTTTTTTGACTAACTATTCCGTTTGTCAGAAGGGCAATGTTGCCCCAATGCTTGACTATCTGGTGGGTCAAAAGGCAATACAAGTGGAACTCAAACTAAGCTGAATTCGGAGTCATGTTATAGGCTTTGGTTTTTCTAAGAAGTTTACCCTGGTTAATAAGATTAAAAGTAATACCTGTATTGGAACCCAGTATGTCCAAGATGCCAAGTATGATAGTCCAAAGTTCTGGCCTATTTTTTCTTTTATGCTGGAGTTCTCCAAAATTGCGAGAGCTAAAGCAAGCCAGAAGTTATCAAATAGAAACAAGACTGCTCGTATCAGGGCGAAGCCCTGAATGTTCCGACTGCCTTTTAAGGTTTATGGAGCAGCAGTAACAACATTTAAAAAATTAAATGAAATAAAAAAAATGAAATTTTTTTTTCTAAAATTTGAAATTTTTTTTGAAAATCATCCCCCCACACGTCATATAAAGTACAAAAAGATAGATTTAGTTCCTTGTAACAAATCAATTATGACAAATAAGCTTCGTTCAACCAATTTGGAACGATTTATAAGACGGATTAAACCTCCGCTTACGCATTAATAGCGCGAATTATATCGCGCGTTAATTGTCCCAAATTGGTCAAAATGGCAATCTTTAAACCCTCATAACTTTACGAAAAATAATCACAGGTGAAATATCTTTTCAAATGTAAGCTCAGGACAACAATACCTTTTGAATGATATAAAAAAAAATCCGTCAAAAATGGCTAGTTAAAAAGTCGAAATTTGTCTGAAGAAAAAAAAACCCACCCCGAGCACAAATATTCCGTTACTTTCGTATCGAAAGTCGGAACAATAAAATATAATACCATTTATGCTAAGAATAGCTTCGATTTGAGCTCACTTGCGTAAAATACTATGAGACATGATCCTCCAGCGATGCAGTTATCGACCATCACGCGTTTAGCCAGTATCTTGGCCGTAAATCCAGGTTTGATAAGCCTGTCAAAAATATGATTGTACCACAAACAGCACACACATCCATTCCCCAACATCCCAGCCAAGGTGACGTGAGAGACAAGACGCCAGTCTATGCAACTGAAGTCAAAAATTTGCCCCATAGTTGTGTTTTTTGGAGGGGTAGTTTTGGATCCCTTAGAGATGGCTTTGTTTGAAGTTTGATCGTTGTTCATTTGTAACTGGGATTGTTTTAGATAGTGTTCCAGTTTTTGTTGTATAATTTCTCCACTGGAAAGGCAAGCTAAAATGGTTTTAAAGGTAATGAACATAAAAAGCTCTTTTTAAAGTCGATACTAGTATTCTAAGCTGTTTGATAAACATTTTTTTAAGCTTTATGATCAAGATTTTTGAAAGAACAACATGCATCAAGTCAGTGAAATTTAATTTATTGAGCATGAGTTTTTTTTATTTTCTTACAATTTGGGAATAAAACTAATGTTGTAGAAAATTGCTCTTTTTAGCACTCATAAAGTGGGATCAATGCTAGGTAGTGCATTTTGATCAAGTTTCAACGTCTGCGACAAGGGAGAGACAACAAAGAGGTTACTGCTTAAAGACATCGCCCACGTTTTGTTTTTCAGATCCTGAGCTTGTGGTGTAATATTTCATATCGGGTGTAGTCGACTACATTGAGGTTTGTGGGGTGTTTGAAGGAGTTGTTTGCAGGAGCTGTTTGCGTGATTGGAGTTAGTGCGTGTGGGTGTGTGTGTGTGGATGGCGGACTACAGGGGAGCTGCGAGTGAGGCGAAGAGGGCCATGGTGTTGATGAGGAAGCGGGAGAAGGAGAAGGAGGAGATGGAGATGAAGAGGCAGAAAATCACTGATGTGAGTTCAACTGAACACTTCAAAAACGATGTCGTTAATCTATACTGTTTTTTGAGGGCGGAATCAACGAGCCGAAGTAGAAATGAACTAAAAATAAACAATATATGTACTAGCCGAAAGTTCTGGGTTGTTTGTGGTAAACTTTTTGTAACTTTAGCAGTTATTGCATAACTATTGGGTAACGGCTGACTGTTTTTGGTTGGGTTTTATATCGCCTATACTTTGCCGAACTCTCGATAACACATGCCTGCCCCAATTTCAAATGTATTGCTATAAATTGCCTTTGCGGGACGATATCCGTGCAAAAAGTCAGTCTCTTAATCTTAATAGTGGAAATGTTTTCGTATCATCACATAGCAACGAACTTTTCACAAACGACGGTCTTATGTTGTTAAAATACCATCCCTGACCAAAATTAGTACCGCTTCTCTGATAGTTCCGTATATCTTTTCTGATAGTATGGTGATATAATTTCAATAAACCATTTTAAATCTGATGACACCGAAGTAATTAGCTGTGTTGTATGATGATTAAGAACAAGAACAAGAAATTGAAGTCTTGAACTGTGTTTAAATTTCAGGAAGCAACTGCTGCTGCGGACATCAAGAATAAGTTTGCCTCTTACTATGATGTATTCGAGGAACAACTGAAAGACAGCACTGTTGGTTTGTGCTTTTCTTCCTAACATGCTGAAATTGAGTAACAGGCTAGGAAATGAATCTGTAAAAATGAATGAAATGAAGTTTTGCAGGTCTCATTTCTCTGGACGAGATGAAGGCGAAGCAGACTCAGATTGTGAAGGAGAAAGAGACTGAAATGATATCGAGAGTGACAGCTGACACTAGGTCAGAGAAAGGTTTCGCATGCATTCTTTTATTTTCTTGAAGTGCGTAAAAAGTTGGTTTCGGACCTCCAAAGATCATTGTGAGCGATTGTTGACTGAAAATGGTAATGCCAACAATTTGGAGTTAGACTTTATTTCATTTTTTTAAATGTATCGAAGACTGGCTGATACTTGCTCAATAGGATTAAAATGTGTTTCTCAAGTTGAAAGGTTCCTCAAGGTAGGGATCAAAAGGGGCAAGTAAAGCGTGAGCACTTCATTTTCAACTATTTTCGATGAGTCATCCTTAAGACTACAGATGGGTTGTACTTCTGCAGTTGGACGTATAAGTGGAATTGATTAGAGGAAATTAGCGGCCATAGATAAGTAGGTGAATGGATTTAATGATTTCAGTACTTTCAAGAGCGAAGAACCTGGCATGTATGTAGCTCCTCCCACCGGATCTCTCTCGTTCAATTTCGATGAAGATGAAGAGGAGGAAGACTCTTCAGAAGATGAGGGCGAAAAGGAAAAGAAGAAAAGCAAACATGAGGATATCAGTGTGTTTAAGAGGTTCAAGAAGAACCCAAATGTGGACACTAGTTTTCTACCTGATGCCAACCGAGATGTAAGTAAATGCAAATGAATTACAGTGTAAATAGAGGAAAGCAGAAGTGTGAATAATAAATTATGGCAGAATTGTTACCACAAAATTGTTACGAAATAAATGTAGTTTTTATCGTGTTGCCGAGTTATGCTCCTAGACATCCAGGTGTTTTGGAATGTCGAGAATTTATATGCAAACGATAGGGGAGAGTACATGAGCTTTAAAGATTTCTGAAGTTATTGAAAATCAAAAAAAAAAGAATTGTTAGCACGGTAGTAGTACAGTGTGGTGGGTGTGTTAATGATGTGTAAGAAGTTGTTTGTGTTGTGTTGAGGTGGGTTGCAGGAGGAAGAGTTGCGACTGAGGGAGAGACTGATGAGTGAGTGGAGTGAGAGACAGCAGAGGATTAAGGACCAAGTGCTCAAGATAGAGTTCTCCTATTGGGACGGGTCCGGACACAAGAGGGAAATGCTGGTCAGTGCAATTAAAATGTTCTTTCGATAAGAAAAAAACACGAGGATCCCATATAATTGAAACGAGAGATCACGCAATTGTCATAAAAATATCCTTTGATTATTTTTTAAGGCACCAATTCAAAACTGAAAGCGTTCCTTTATGGGCCTGCAAAAAATTGGGATAATTTACTGAGACTTGGCTCCTTAAGGAAATCCCTGGGGTTCTTTTGTTGACTGACGATTTTTTAAAAAAGAAATCGAACACAGTGTTATCAAAAAACACGTAAAAATTATTTGAACTAGTGTTGATTGTGTTTGCTTAGGTGAAAAAAGGAGTGAATATTCATCAATTCCTCTACAAGTGTCTCGAAATGTTGAGAGGCGAAGGACAGTTCCCCGAACTCAGGCACTGTTTGCTTCGAGTAATGAATTTTCATCATTTTTATATCGAGGAGATTTAAACGACCTGTGTTTTCTTAATAGGTCTATCAGTGTGGACCAGCTCATGTTTGTCAAGGATGACATGATACTTCCCCATGTAAGTTTTGGTTGCGGACATGAAATATTTCTCCCCTTAACTGACCAAATGAAAAATCACCCCATTATTTAAACGATAAATTTAGCAATTCATCATCATGCAAAATTCTGAATCTTTATTGGTTGAAAATGAATTCTTTTATCAAGTGAGCTATCTTCTCCCGAAATGGTTTCGGCGGAGAATGTTCTTTTGGTCAATTGCATCTATTCATTTTGAAAACAGTTTTTTAGCAATTTCAACTCCTTCATCCAAGAAGTCTCATGTTCTTGAAGGAAGTTGAAATGACCTAGTGTTTTTTGACAAAGTAAAGAATAGTTAAAAACGTCTAGGTTCGTGTTTTTCAATTGTATGTCAATGTTAGTAAAAGTGTTAGTAAAAGTTTTTCTCAGCATTCGAGCTTCTACGACCTGATAATGATGAAGGCGCGGGGTAAAAATGGGAGCCTCATCTTCAATTTTCCAGCTGACAGCTCTCCTATCAAATCTTCAGAAAGCGAAGCAGATTTAGCGCAGACGCAGCAGTCTTCAGCGCCAACAAGCGTGGCTTCTTCAAAAAATGTTGGAGAAAAAGTTGATGTAAGTGGCACTGATTTGAGATCCAAACTGAATGTTCCGACGAAGGAAATTAAAACAGAACTATCGGGTTGGTGTTCCAGTAAATCAAAATTTTCTCACGACAGTTGTTCATTTTCGAAAAATAAAAAAGCGACAAAGATTGTTTAAACTATTCACCGGTGATTCAGGAATCTTTGAAACTGCATTAACTAATTTTACCGAAGTTCTGTTTATTTACCTACAGATAAATTTACAGGGGCGAAGCCAATTTTTTCCAGTTTAATAAGGCTAAGTTGGAGAACAAATAAGAGCAAGATCACCTTTCATTCTTGATCTCGCGCAAATTTTGCTCTCGCGTAAAAAAATCAATTCAATCCAGTATGATAACAAGCAGAGCAAAATAGATGTGCAAGTAGCCCGATATGTTCTGACCGCAATAATGTAGGAAAACAAATTCCATTATAAAGAAAAACTACGAAACGTCGAAAAAAAATTCAGGACAGCTGAAGATAAAAAAACTGCTAGGCTGTGATGTGATAGTAGCTAAATTAGCAATTGAGTTTTAGAAGAATTTAGCGATCAGTTGCTCATCCATTTTGTCTAATTTAATCTGAAAGTCGAAAAAATTCAGAGCGTTTTTTGTCGACATTGAGTCATGTCTTCAAATTTTTTTCGGAATCTGAATGATGATTTATAGGATTTTTAAACGAGCGTTTCGTAGTCTGGTAGTACGGTGTATTTTTCAAGCGAAGTATCAAATAAAAGTTCTACGTTTGGTTGCTTTTTGAATTGTTATTTGATTAGTAAAAAGTTATTACAGTTGATGCTTTTCTAATTCATCAGTTGAGCCAAAAAAGCTAGTTGTTTCATGCAACAGTATAATAATTAAAATCCCATATCAGTAAGTTTCCAAAGTCTATATATTCTTTGCAAGATTTTTGACATGAATAGTTTATACGCAATCTCCTTTAATACCTACGAATTTATTATATGCATAGTTAGTTTAGTTGCCTTCAGGTTTTTACTTTCCAATTTTTTACATGCAATGTTTGAGTTTTTTTTTGCATTTTAAAGCTCCTGAGTTTTTGAGGCTTCCTTGGTTGTTTTTGCTAAGTCGTAGCTTCGCCTCAGAGTGGATTTTTTTTTTCATCGTGGATCTAATTTTAACGTTTTTATTTTAATAAATAGGTATATTTGGCCAAGTTTTTTATCGTCAGTGTATGTTTTATCGGCTCCGTTGACTCAAGTTGCATCGTGCGCGGGTGAAATATTGCTTCTTGTGTAAAGAATTGCTTTCCAAAGAATCATTCAAATTTTAGTGTTCGAACCGTTATAGAAATGATACATACTGAACGTTATGAAAGTAATAAAACCATGGCATGATTTTTGCTGCCCAATAAGCTTCTTGGGCCGAAGTGTATTTTTGGCTTAGTTTCTGTTTCTATACACTAGCGAGTTTAATCTCTATTTAGCAGTTTCGAATCCGTCTTGTGGGAGAATTATTTCACTAATTCCAGACTTATTTCTACTTTTTGTTCCGACCATTTGAAAAATGGAGAGGAACTTTCTATTCGGGAGTTTTATTTTTTGATTCTCTTTGTTCGTTTTCCTTGCATTATCAGCTACCACAAATAACAACCGAAGAGAGTTGAGTAATATATCATTTTAAAACCCTTTCAGTCGTGATTGAAAAATAAAAAAAATTTCAACAAAAATTGATAGTTTCGACAAAAACCGGCTTGAAACTTTTAATTTCTCGTCTTACTTCGAGTGAGCCAGTAGGCTTACAATAATTACTTTTATATGCTTAAAAGCTTAGAATTGCTTAATTGAAGCGGTAGTAATGAGTTTTACTTGTCTAAAGTTAGTTTTTTGTATTGTTTTGTGACTTTTTGGGAACAAACACGTCAAGAAATTGAAAAAAAAATTAGTACTTTTTAAAATTTTTCATTTTATGCTTATTTTACTTTAACTGTCGAGTATGCCTCACCTCTAATTTTCGTTCAGATCCTTTTTATCGCATCACGCAGAAAAAAACTACTATAATTTGAAGAAAAAAAACTTTCTTGCACAGTAACCGGCTATCCTTGTTCTTATCACACACCCTATCTGTCTTTTATATATTTCAATGCAATTTCTCTTTCTTGACACATTAAAGCTTTTTCAAATTATTATTTTTTGCATATTTAACCAATGATTTTTCTCACGTTCTTCCAGTTTGAATTCCGTGTTTTTTCTCCGACTTTAAAGTTAGCAACCCAATAGTAGAATGCTGCCACGTTTCCCCCAAGAGGATGCAAATTTGGACTCGAATAATGAATAGCCCAATCCTAGCTTACGTGATACGACGGTTTTTGTCGTTTTTTTTTTTCCAAAATTTTTCAAAAACTTAGCTCTGTAGATTGGGGCTGTCAGATCACTCTCAGGAATGCGAATCTCGCGTCCAAATTTGGCTGCTCAAATCCTTGTAGTTTTTCAGATATGACATTTTTTTGATGATTTCTTTTCGTTTTTTCAGAAAAACTTAGATGTAAAAAATTCAAAAGATTTAAACCTCCCAACCCTGTAGTTGGGTAGTGTGAGATAAATATCGGGATTTGCAAATATTTCGTTTAATTGCGCCTGCTCAAATGCTTTTAGATTCCGAGTTGAGACATTGTTCATGTCATTCTAATTTTGTTTAAGCAGCTTATCTGTAAGAAATTTTCCCTGAATTTCAAATTATTTTCGGAATCTGAATGATGATTTATAGGATTTTTACACGAGCGTATCGTAGTCTGATAGTACTGTGTATTTTTTCCAAGCCAAGGATCAAATAAAATTTCTACATTGGTGGCTTTTTGAATTGTTAGGCTGCAATAGCACTATAAAATCATATGTACTTGGACATTTGATTAGTAAAAAGTTATTACAGTTGTTGCTTTTTTAATTCATCAGTTGAGCCAAAAAAAAGCTAGTTTCATGCAACAGTATAATAATTGAAGTTCATTTTCAGTAATCTTCAAAATTCTTCGTACTTCGAAAGATTTTTGAAATGAATAATTTATACGCAATTTTGTTTAATACCTACGAATTTATTAAATGCGTAGTTAGTTTGGTTGCCTTCAGGTTTTTACTTTTCAATTTTTCACATGCGATGTTTGAGTTTTTGTGCATTTTAAAGCTCCTGATTTTTTGAGGCTTCCTCGGTCGTTTTTCAAAGTCGTAGCATCGCCTCAGTGTCGAAATTTGATTTTTTTTCTCATCGTGGATCTAATTTAAACGTTTTTATTTTCATAAATAGGTATATTTGGCCAAGTTTTTTATCGTCAGTGTATGTTTTATCGGCTCCGTTGACTCAAGTTGCCTCGTGCGCGGGTGAAATATTGCTTCTTGTGTAAAGAATTGCATTCCAAAGAATCATTCAAATTTTAGTGTTCGAACCGTTATAGAAATGATACATACTGAACGTTATGAAAGTAATAAAACCATGGCATCATTTTGACGCCGAATGAGCTTATTGGGCCAAAGTGTATTTTTGGCTTATTTTCCGCTTCTGTTCCTGTACACTAGTGAGCTTAATCTCTAGGTAGCAGTTTGGAATCCGTCGCGTCGGAGTATTATTTTAGAAATTCCAGACTTATTTCTACTTTTTGTACCGACCATTTAAAAAATGAAGTGGAACTTTCTATTCAGGGGTTTTATTTCATGATTTTTTTCGTTTTCCTTGCAATATCAGCTGCCACAAATAGCAATCGAAAAGATTTGAATAATATATCATTTTAAAAGCCTTTCAGTCGTGATTCGAAGATAAAAAAATTTTCAACAAAAATTGATAGTGTCGAGAAAAACCAGTTTGAAACTTTTAATTTTTCGTCTTATTTCGAGTGAGCGAGTACGCTTACAATAATTAATTTATCAGCTTAAAAGCTTAGGATTGCTTAATTGAAGCGGTAGAAACTGAATTTTACTTGACTAAATTAGTTTTTCTAGTATTTTTGCGCCTTCTTGGGAACAAAAAAGTCAAAAAACAAAAAAAAAGTTTATACTTCTTTTTAGTTTTTAATACTATGCTTATTTTACTATGACTGTCGAGTATGCCTCAGCTCGTTTTTTCGCTCAAATCCTTTTTATCACATCACTCGGAAAAAAACTACCATAATTTGAATTTTTTTTGTGTTTTAAGACTGATCGTAACTTTCTGTGCTACTTGCACAGTAACCGGCTATCCTTGTTCTTATCACACACCCTATCTTTGTTTTATATATTTCAAGGCGATTTCTCTTTCTCGACACGTTGAAGCTTTTCCAAATTACTATTTTTTGCATGTTTAACCATTGATTTTTTTCACGTTCTTCCAATTTGATTTCAGTGTTTACTTCTTCGACTTTAAAATTAGCAACCCAATAGTAGAATGCTGCCACGTTTCCCCAAGAGGTTGCAAATTTGGACTCGAAGAATGAATAGCCAAATCCTAGCTTACGTCATACGACAGTTTTTGTCATTTTTTTCCAAAAATTTTCAAAAACTTAGCTCTGTAGGTTGGGGCTGTCAGATCACTCTCAGGAATGCGAATCTCGCGTCCAAATTTGGCTGCTCAAATCCTTGTAGTTTTTCAGATATGACGGTTTTTTTTGATGATTTCTTTTCAATTTTCAGAAAAACTTAGATGTAGAAAATTCAAAAAATTTAAACCTCCTAACCCTGCAGTTGGGTAGTGTTAGATAAATATCGGGATTTGCAAACATTTCGTTTAATTGCGCCTGCTCAAATGCTTTCAGATTCCGAGTTGAGACATTGTTCTTGTCATTGTAATTTTGTTTAAACATTTTATATGTAAAAAAATTTCACTGAATTTGAAAATTCTATCTCTATAGTGAGATACTGTCAGCGTACTTTCAGTGGTTGTAGATTTTGCCTCCGAATACGACTGCTTAAGTTCTTGTAGTTTTCTAGACGTCTTGTACTTTTTCTTGACGCTTTCATAATTTTTCTAAAATTTGCAGGACACAGATTTAAAAGAATTCAAAAAAAATTGAATT